GGGTCAGGGTTAGGGACACGGTCAGGGTTAGTGTTAGGCATAGGGACGGGGTCACGGTTAGGGACAGGGTCAAGGTTAGGGTTAGGGACAGGGTCAGGGTTTGGGTTACGATTAGGGTTACAGTCAAGGTTAGGGTCAGGGTTAGGTTTGGGGTTAGGGATAGAGTTACTGCTACACTTAAGGTCAGGGCTAAGGATAGGGTTAGTGGTAGGGATAGGGTTAGGATTAGCATTAGGGGTAGGGTTAGGGTCAGGGTTAGGGTTAGGGTTAGCATTAGGGATAGGGCTAGGGACAGGGTTAGCATTAGGGATAGGGTTAGGGTCAGGGCTAGGGTTACGGATAATGTTAGGGATAGCGTTAGGGTTAGCATTAGGGATAGGGTTAGGATTAGGATTAGGAATAGGGTTAGGGTTAGGGTCAGGTTTAGGGTTAGGGTCAGGTTTAGGGTTAGGGTTAGGGTCAGGTTTAGGGTTAGCATTAGAGCTAGGGTTGGGGACATGGGTGCGATTGGGAAAAGTTTAGGCACAGAGTTTGGGTTAGGATTAGGGATAGGGTTAGGGTTCAGGACAGGGTTAGGCTTAGGTTTAGGGATAGCATTAAGGATAGCATTGGGGTGGCACAGTGGCTCAGTGGTTAGCACTGCTACCTCACAGCGCCGGGGACCTGGGTGCGATTCCACCCTCGGGCCACTGTCTGTGTGGAGTTTGCACATTCTCTCTGTGTCTGCGTGGGTTTCCTCTGGGTGCTGTGGTTTCCTCCCACAGTCCAAAGATGTGCAGGTTAGGTGGATTGGCCATGGGAAATTGCCCATACTGTTCAGGGATGTATATATTAGGTGGGTTATAGTGGGGGTGGGTCTGGGTGGGATACTTTGAGGTTCGGTGTGGACTTGTTGGGCCGAAGGGCCTGTTTCCACACTGTAGGGATTCTATGATCTATGTGTGTCGGATGTGTCTGCCTTATTGATTGTGTAATTGTGGTGATCTTTGGGAGCTGAGGTAATAAGAATAAGAATTGAAAGGGTCAGAGAAGGAGACAGTCACATTTGTTCAGAAAGACAGAGATGGTGCAGATTGTGACTAATCTTACACACCTTCTGATTATACACAAACAAAGAGCTTTGGGTGCAGCAAATCATACAATAATTTTCTCACAAACTACAACAGTGTTTTTTTTAATCCAGAAGCCTTTGGTTGACATTTCAGATGTCAAGAACCCTCAAATATTTAACTCAACTGCCCATTCTACACTCGTAAGGCTAGTGGAGAGGATATTCCAGCACAGTGTCCATCACAGGTGAACCATCACTGAACATTGAAGAACACTGACTCTCTGGGAGCTGTCAATAGGCACTCATTAGGACCCGGACTGGTGTTCGCGTTTACTAGGCTGAGAGATCAATACTTTTACTGAAACCTTCAAACTTGACACAGGCTGGGAATCTGAAACCTTGCTTGTTACTTTGGATCTTAGTCACACTTAGTCCCCAGGCCCCTAAATTCTGTTCCTGCGTTGAAATCCCTTATTGACTTAGACACTAAGCAGAAATAGGCCACTCGGCCCTTCGAGCCTGATCCACCATTCAGTCTGACCGTGGCTGATCCTTTATCTCAATGCCACATTCCTCCTTTCTCTCCATACCCCATGATACCCTTTATATATAAAAATGTATCAATCTCTTTCTTGAATATACCCAGTGACCTGACCTCCACAGCCATCTGTGGTAGAGAATTCCACAGGGAGTTGACCACCCTCTCACCCACTTAGCCTTTTTCTCACCGCTAGAGCCTCTTTCTGCCCTTCAACCTTGGCAGAAATCTTTGTTCTGCCAGGATTGCCTCCTTGTGAGCCATGACCCTCCCTTTGCCTGGTGATTGCTGGCTCCACTAATCTGCCAATTTAGGCTCCACGCCCCTCCTTTAAATCTTATCACTTCCCTCTCCAAGATGTTCCTTAAAGCCCAGTTTCTCCATCAAGCTTTCAGTCACTTTTCTTCATCCTTTCAATTGGCATCCGTTTCTTGCCTGTGGGCGTATTATCCATTAGGAGCCCTCGAGAAACAGATGTTAATTTTGACACTTGGCTAAATGGGTCATGGGTAGCCCATAGAGAAGCTAGCTCCTTCCTATGAAATCTGCCCAGTGTAAATACTTGGCTTAGTGTTTTACTGATACATCACCCTGAGCTCATTTCTTGACAGTTTTTAATCATTGTTGATTGTTAATCACACTCAAGCCAGCGGCACTAGACAGGCTTTTAGAAAGGAAACAGAGAAGTTAACAACCCCTTTAACTTTTGCACTGGGCCTGTCCTCCATCTACCCTCTTTATCCCCTTCTGCCCCTGTCGGAAGTATAAAACAAGACCTAATTTCCAACACCCTTCAGTCCTGAAGATGAGTCACTGGACTCAAAATGTTAACTTTGTTTTCTGTCTCCACACAGATATTGCCACACTGCTGAGTTTCTCCAGGACTTGCTGAGCTTGTTCAATTCTCAGAGATGCTGTGTAAATTGTAATAATTTAGGATTCAGAGCACAGCAGAAACTGAGAAATATCTACCAACACTGTAGAGGAAAAGCGTGAGGGGAAATTAAACATTAAAGCCCTGCAATTCCACGCAGATTCTGGAATCTCCCGTGAAAATGTGTGTGAGGCTGGTAGGATGGATGTAAACAGGCCACATTTCGATAAGGAATCCAAATTCCTATAGGAAATCCTTAGGATTCCTCGTGGTCTTGAGTTTAATGAACATGTTTGAAATCCACACTCAATTTGCAGAAGACAAAAGCGAAATGATTCTTACAGGTTTGTTCTTCAATTGAAAATCCCATGATACTCATGGCCTCTGATGTCTCCTCAAACATGTCCTTGTCATCTTGCCCTGGAATAGGGACATGACCGTTGGATAAAAACCGGTAACTGCTGAATGGTTCCAGCAACAGATCCTCTGAAAATTGCAAAGGAAAAAAACTGTCAGCAATTCCCGCTTGTCGGAGACCAAAAAGAGAGAGATACCTCATCCCAACTGAGGTATATAACTCACCCTTCATCTTAACCCCAGCGCCAGAGAGTAGGTAATAAAAAATATGGAATGTCCTTTCCTCTGGAGCTTGACGAATAGCACGAGACTTTTCAAGCAGATCTAGTTATTTCAGTTAAGTTGAATAATTCACTTAGAGTCATAGCGCTGTACATCAAGGAAACAGACCCTTCTGTCCAACTTGTCCATGCCGACCAGTTATCCTAAATTAATCTAGACCCATTTGCCAGCATTTGGCCCATATCCCTCTAAACCCTTCCTATTCATATCCCCATCCAGATGCCTGTTAAATGTTGTAATTGTACCAGCCTCCACCACTTCCTCTGGCAGCTCATTCCATACACACACCATCCTCTGCGTGAAAAAGTTGCCCCTGAGGTCCCTTTTAAATCTTTCCCCTCTCACCTTAAACCTATGCCCTCTAGTTTTGGACTCGCCTACCCTGGGAAAAATACCTTGGCTATTGCCCCTATCCATACCCTCTTCCAGCCAGCTTCTTAAAAACTTTCAATATGCAGCAATAATTCATCGCAAAGGTAGATAATCACTTGAATGAAACCGATTAAATATTTTTGAAAATTAACCTGAAATTCCAAACGATACAGTACATTCCTTGTTTGCTGTTAATATTGTTTTTGAAAATTTCAGATATTTTCTAATCTACCTATTCAGGGATGGCATGACACACCCCTGGAGTAGGTGAGACTAGAACCCGGACCTCCTGGCTCAGAGGTAGGGAAATTATCTCTGTTTCACAAAAGCCACTTGTTTGAAATTTCATATGGTATTGGCGCAGGTTCAACTGGTAGATTTTCAATTGGCTGCTTTATTAATTTGTTGGAAACCAAAATGTAGGCTCGCCTGAAATAAGCTTGGGAGCTCCACTTGTAACTCTCAATCAATGATCTTCATTCCTCCTCCATGTTCAGTCAAATGAGAGCTGCTCAGAAATTTCTGAGGATTACCAGATTAGAGATCCACTGTTTCTGCTGCCTCCCCCTTCCTCTCTGTGGCCTCCCTTTAAACCTGGACTTTCAACTCACACGCCCCTAACAAACTGGTATGACCTGGGGCAGCGGCAGGGCACAGGTGGGTATGTTATGTCCCAGTAACCAGGGCTGGGGGCTCGAGGGGGGCCGCCTCCCTGAAAAATCAAACTGTTCTATAAAGGCAGGGGATTTCTATTTCTGTGCATTAACTCCATGCTGCCATACGCTCATACACACACACACACACACACACTCTCTCACACTCTCTCTCTCACACACACACACACACACATACACACACACACACACACACACACATACATACATACACACACACACACACACTCTCACACCTACATACACACACACACACACACTCTCACACATACATACACACACACACACTCTCACACACTTTCTCTCTCTCACACACACACTCTCACACACACACACACACACACACACACACACTCTCACACACACACACTCTCACACACACACACTCTCACACACACTCTCACACTCTCACACACACACACACACACACACACACACACACAC